GCATTCTTTTGCAAGGCGGCTCTCTTACTCTCTTGGCCTCTCTTTATTTTCTCTTTCTTTCGAACAAGGAATACTTCGTAATTGAGATTCTCTTGTACATAAAGATGCGGGTGGTGCGCGAGTATCATGAAAAATTCTTCAACTCATTTCTGTCAATTATTTTTCCCTTTACTGCGCCGAGCATCTATACCAAAATACCCACAAAAATTGCACTGCATACTTTTCAGAATAGGATGCTGGATTTAGATGAATAAGCGAAGCATCTATTGACGAAATGCTTCAATAATTTATCCGTGCCCGAAGTGAAGTCTCACGAGATCTTACATCCTCTTTTGGCCATTTAGATAAGCACATAAGTGCGAGAAGTATGGAATTTGCTTCGATCGGAAGGCTTCTGTATTTTCTCAACAGTAATATTTATGTGCTATTATATATACATATGCATAATTTATCCGCAGCGCCATTTCTTGAAATATACGTATTTACAGACTACCAAGCTCGTGCGTCGAACGTGTACATAATAATCGAATTCGCATTTTTAAGTAGGCTTTTATTTGTGCGCATGTTTTTTTTAGTTTTATGGATGATTCTGATTCGAACGTATTGCTCACGTGCGGAAAAAAAGCTTGAAAAATACCCGAATCAAAAAAGTACAGAGTATACATTTTTTATTGGTCCACGCGTGTATATCGTATAAAGAATCGACCGCACTCGAGGCTCGCGCTCAGCTCATTCCGCTTGGTATGTTAAACATAAAAGGGACTGTGCCGCTATTGGTGCGAGGGACCTTCATTATGAGCGTCACATCTTTAATAACAACGCAACTCTTTGCGGTTCGATTGGATCGTTGGCATGTTTGCGTGGTGTTTGTGTGCGATGTGCACCTCCCACGCGCTATAGCATATACATATAATACACGTGCAACAGAAAAAAAGCTACTTACAGTTTGAGAGCTGTCTGAATTATAAAGATAGCGATTAAAGTATAGGTTTGCCGGAATCAACCACTCGAGAGCCGCTCGTTTTCGCGTTTGGCCCTGCACACTGACGCAGAGCAAAACAGCCGCGCTCAATTTTAGATGTAGTGTTGTGCACATGTGGCACAGCTAATTTTACTAATTTTTTATAATATAGGCACTCCACTTCATTTGATGTTCTTATCAATTATCAACCGCGGTGCTTGTATTCATCAAAACGTGTACAATAAGGCAAGAAATCCATGGAGATTTTCTGATATTTTTCATCAAGAGGGATTTAATACAAAGGCATGCGTATTGATTCGAACCAATAGCCGTGCTTCTAGCTCATATAACAGCAGAGGTTATACGCAGGGATTTGGGCTGGCTATCGTTATTAGCATACAGCTTTTGAACTTGAAGCCAGAGATGAATCTTTATATTAAAAAAGTCTTCAAAAGATCCATGGGTTGAACAACGACAATGACAACGACGATGGCAGACTACAGGCTACGGATGCATTGCAAAGCTAAAACGATATAGATATAGAAACGCGTATACATTGTATGTACGGAGACGGTGTATAGTTTGATCGCGCCAAGAAAAAGACGCGCGCTTGCCGAGCTCCAAGAGTGGCTCTCTCTCTTGGAAAATATGAGCTGCTTGTTTGCTTCTGTCTCCGATGCATGTTTTACGCATACAATTTTTACATACCTATAATAAGTCATCAACTGTAAATATAGTTGTACAAAAAAGAGCTTGCGGGATATTAGCCAAACCTCTTGAGAGTTAAACTTGTAATGCAGAATGAAAATTCAACTGCAGATTGATATGAATCAATTGCTAAATTTTTTGATATTTAATTCTTTTCATTAATCAATAAAAAATGTACTAATGATACATGATACGAACATTAAATACGTCTTTTCATAAAAATCAGATCTTGGAATTCTTTTTCAATTTCTATGACTGCAAGCGCAATTAAAAGTCTAGTGTACTTCTTCGAATCGTTAGAAAAACATGATAAAAAGCCAGTCTTTGAACAGAGTAAAGAGCTGCCTCTTATTACTTATTTTTAACGCTTCTTCGCATATGCTCAGTGTTTGGCTGGTTCTGCATTCGACCCAATGAAAAAAGCTGCTGCTACTTCTCGAATACATTCGCAAACAATCCTTAAAATTCACTCTTCTTTAATTCTATTCTCACGAAGAAACTCACGTGGTCGTATAATTTCGTGATATTCACATTTACGTTTTCCAGATTCAATAGAATTTGAGTAAACTCTCTGTCCGCTTTCTCATCAGCAAATGTTCGCTATGCTTTTTTCGTATTCATCTGGATGCTCGAATTGCACCTAGAAAAAACAGACAGATAAAATATGGAATAAAAGGACACGTACTGATACAGAATCTTAATTTTTTTTTAATTTCAAATATCATCTGCAAAATCATCATAGCTTTCTCTGGATTTTCTAGGCATATTCTATCGCAGTGTATGTGCACTTGCGAAAGGTATACGCGCACACACATCTCAGTATTATACCCTTACACACACGCGCACCGGCAAAATGAAACGTCAAGGGCCCCCGCAAGGCGCAAGCAAACAAGCAAGATGATGACTCTCGTGGGATTTTAACCTTCCGCACGCGAGTCATCGCATCAAACTCCCTCTCTTTTACTCTTTTCGTATACACACAGACACCCAGGTAGATATACGTATGTGCGAGCGAGTCCCTCATCTCCTGTGCTTGCGCATTCAAGAAGCTATATACGATTTCACATGCAAACGTATTCGCGCATATACTCGCAACATATACACGTATATAGAGATGCTAGTGTGAAAAGCTCTGCGCGCGCGAGAGCTGCCGTGCTCATTTCCTTTCCTGCTATGACAGAGACTCTATCTCTTTCTCTCTGGCTCTATACCTCTCTATCTTTCTCTTTCTTTCTCGCTCTCTTGGAGATGCTTTGTTGTGGCGCTTAGCCAAGTCGCGTACGAGCATATTCCTCCCGAGGCTTTGAACTTTTTACCTCCGACTCCGCGAATTCTAGCTTTTTTTTCACGACGCTTTAACGAAATATTAATAATGCTACCTTTCATCTGAATATTTTTTTCATTTTTCTGTATACACTACAAATTTTCGCCACGACAGACTTGTAAACCGGAAAATTACAAATCGAAACGCAAACTTTTTTTCATTATGTTGGTCCGCAGAATGGAAAAGGGAAAAAAAATGAAATGATATCTCGTTATGGCTGATAATGCGCAACAACGGCCTTAACAAATGTACGCGTGCGTGTATACCATATTGCGAATGCTCCATTCGCAATATGCAATTCGCTTCATTGTACGACACGCGTACGCATTGTAGCCGCGTGACAGGGTTATTTTCAAGTATAATATTGTGTAATAAAAGTTCAGTTCTCGGTTAGCGCACACACACATATGTGTGCGTGCGTGTATAAATGTATGGAAGTGCAGTCTCGCGAAACGGTACATCGCGTTCTGTATAATGCTTGGGTATCTACATCCTATATAATGACCTAAAGTATAACCTCCGATAAAAAACTAACGATTTGTGACGACTAGTAGTATTCGTACGCGTACGACTACTTTTTTTTCTTCGACAACTCGCGGGATCCCCTCCTACTTTCCCGGTATTCTTCGAAAAAATATCGTATTTAATACCGAGAGATCTATGTGTCACACGAGAAAAAAATCAACACCATGAATCGACGATGTCGTGCTTGAAAAGTACGCTCAAAATTCCTTTTTCACCACGGCTACATACAAAACTATATACGCCGAGTCAAGTGCAAAACCCGCACAGCACGTGCGGTATGTACAATTCAACGTTTGTTTACTTTTGTAGCTTGCGTCTGAGACAATGCAAAAACATGTTTGACACGCGATACTGGCTCAAATCTACCGGATATCCGAAACGAGTTGTGAACTGCACGGTAGCGGCAGAGACGCGTGTCGCTAAACACATACACAATCCTCGTTATTTTCATAATCGCGTAATTTCGTCGAGCGGCAAATGACAATATCTCCACACAGCACACTTGCGGTACTTATTATTATCATCATTTTTACAAGAAATGTAGGCTGACGCGTATGTCATAATCATATAGGAGTTTTTTGATGGCTTTGCAAGAAACGCCTGGAATTTCATTTTTTTACTATCTTATTTCTGATAAAAGCCGAAATAAGTAAATACATTTTATGGATTTTCTATGTACACCATAAACCAAAAAATATTATGATTATATTAAAAGTATCGATAAAATGTGATATCTGTAAGTTAGAAAGTTTTTTCAATCGTATATCAAACTTATATTCTTGGTTCTTAAAAAAAGTATCCCAAACGTTAAAAGCGGTAAGAATACTTGTATGGTATTTTTATTTTTAAAATATTTATTTATTGATGGTTAGATCGATACTTATTGAAACTACTTTTAATTCATTAGTGGTGTCATGATATTGTTATTCAAGAGAGAATTTGAAAAACATAAGCCATCAATTCTTTGAGCTTTTTTTTCATATTTATGTATGGTGTATGTGTATTTAAATAGTGAAAAGTAAATTATGAAACTTTTTTCACTGTAAATGTATTCCATTAAAATATCACGTGTGTAAGTGTGAAAAAAGAAAATCGCGTTAAGATCGATTTATGGTATTGTGCGGTGTCACTCGTGCTTTCACATGCGGTGCTAACGAGATATGTCGTTATATATGTGTCAATTCGAATGATCCATTAATAAAATGTGTTTGGGTCACACACGATGGCCGATGAATGATTTTACTTTGTTTTTTGAAACAACCGAGACTGAGATTTCCATTCGAGAAATGATCGAGATTTAATAACGGATTTGCGTGATTTTACTTGCAACGTATCATACCGAGGTTGGCGTTGATTGTTCAATACTTGTAACTTATTACCCAGTGTGTCACCTCTTTACGCGTGAAAAACATATAGATAAAAGATTAAAAGCAAAAGGGAAAAAATTTCAAACATTAAGGTTGTTCTCCATTTTTGTTGCAGGCCGAAGAATTGAACGCAATAGTCGGCAATGCATTTCGCATGGCTTACGTGGCGCAATTGCAACGCCATCAGCCCAGCTCAGGTGCAACGTCGACAACGGCAAAAATCATTCAAGATGTGATTAATAGTCAGAAAACTAGTAATAATTCTAAAAACACACATACTCATCATCGCCAGCAACGCGATACTTCGCCATCGCAGCATAGCGCGAACGCATGGGTGAGTAAATCGCTGTATTCTAGATATGTTTAAAAATGAAATTTTTATCATCAGCTCTAATTTTATTTCAAAACTGCCTTTTGAAGCTGTAATCTCATAAACAGACAGTTACTCATATTAATAAATATCTTTAATGTTTGGTTACATTTCATGATTAAGTATTCATTCATGCTGATACTGCAATTCATTTAAATATTCATTTTAGTAAACAACGAAGCTTTTTCAAGGGAGCGAATTCCCTATATTTCACGTCAATACTAATTCAAGAATCTAATAAATTAAAATGGGCTATCAATGAACCTTAAAATACACATAAGGGATACATTCATTTTCTCTATACTTTTTAACGCTTTGTAATGGGGCGAAATATTCAAATAATGGTAGCATGCAAGCTCTATTTGGTATTTCATTCCATTCTCCATCGCGCACATGACATTGTACACTGACCGCACGCGCCTTTTCCAATTATTACTATACGCGAGCTTACCGTTCGTCAATTAAAAAAGTACAACTATGCACGACTGTACACACTGCCCGAATATTATTCATTCTCAAATATTTTTCCGATCAACCGCGCACCGCGTGCTTCCATGAATGCTATTAAAAAAAAAAAATCAGTAATAGCATATTCTCGCGCGACGGTCACGGTATTTTTATTATGTATATGGACGGGCGCCTGCAGGACGGAGAAACCGCGCCACCGTTAACGACGACGCACGTTGCATATAATGCACACTATCTGCAGTGTGTCTGCGTGCATTTTTATATTCCACGAGATAGCTCGCGTGCGCTGCATAATACACTCTGCATAGGCACGGCTCACGGCTTGCGATTGTAAATTCACGCATTGTACCGTATTTGCCAAGTAGAGGAGCGATGATAAAATACGATGAAAAATAATAAAAACTGATTAATCACGTGCGAAACTTGTTCGCCCGCGAACGTGGAAGAAACGTACGCATTATGTGGAATACGAGACTGAAATTTTGCTATGCTTTTTTTTCTCTTTCTCTCGCTGCTCGCGTACGTTATGGATGCAATTTCCGGATCAAGTTCCGCTGCTAGAGAAAGAGAGATCGGCCGGTATATATAGCCGTGTAAGCGTTAGAAAGAGAGAGAGAGAGAAAGACAGAGTAAGTCGTTTTAGAGCTTGTTAAAGTATTCTTTTCGCAGCACTTAAAAATCTTGTTGTATTATATACATGCACGCACAGCTCAGCTCATGCAAAGCGACAGCTGGTCACTGAAATATCTCGACTGTGCAACACAAGCGAGCATTAGCTCGAAGGCACATTTTCATGAAAATAACAAGAAAAATCGTAAACTTCCGAATTGCCACTGTTCGTATTCGTGCTAGCCCTAAGTGATTATCGTTGATAAGTTACTCTTAGTTCTGTCGCGCTTTACAAAAATTCTATAATTCACATTAGAAGTAGTCATAATTATTAAAATATGCCGGAAATCCTCATCTTTCACCACCTAAAAATATCTACGCGCACGCAACACATGGATCATTATCATGAGCGAGAAATAAAAACTAAGAGCAGGCGAGAGCAAAAGAGCGAGACGCAGAGAGAGAGAAAGAAATCAGCAACATCCGTGCGCGCACACACACACACACACACACATATAACCGAGTGGCAATATCGCATCATGAGCGAGTTTTATATTATGTACAAGAGGCAGTCTGCTAGAGAATGGCATAATGTAAACACGCTCGTGCGTGTGTCGCGCAATAAATCGTTCAAAAATTATTGGCCGTAATGTCAGAATAATAATAATAAAAAATTTGCATTTCTATTTGTCGCATCATCGAGTCAACGATCGTGACTCGATTGAACAATTGTCGCGCGCGATGAGATGTAAATTGTGTGACAGATACGAGGCGCTTAACGCCGGCAACGATGTAAAAACAATAATTTTTTTTTGCTCGCTTCGCACGTAACGATCAGTCGAACTTGATTGTTTGTTTTTTCTCTTTATAGGATTGCAAATCACTTTCGAACAGCGACACAGCCAACAACAATCATCCGATTAACTGCAAGTGGGAAACGAGCAACGACAAGCAGCAGCAGCTCCATAATCATCACCATCACCATCATCATCATCACAGCAACTCGGCCAGTAGTGGCAGTGTCAGCAGCGACGAGTGCAGCAGTAGCAGTGCAACCAACAGCAGTACCAGTGCCGAAATGAACTTGCAGCTCGGAAGCAGTGCCTCGCCTACGCTCAGGCTCTCGAGCGTCAAGGTAAAATATTTATCTCGAATTAAAACTTTACCAAATCGGATAAACTGAAACGATAAACTATACAGTAGGCAAATTGACACTCGCTCATTCGTATTCTACGAAGGCACACACATCGTGCGTTCGCTAGCGTCGCGCGCAAAGGTGAATTCAGACTGTACGCAAAAAGGCTCGGGCGCGCATAATAAAGTTTCGTGCGCGATCGCTCGCCCCGTCTACTCCATCGGAGAAATACGAAGCCCTGGGAAACTGCGCGCGCGCTTGTGATATATTGTTGCACGCGCAGCTGTATAAACGTACGTACACGCGAACTTATTGAAATAGCTTTTAATTTCGAGCGAGCTCGCACGACGTATTGTATTGTGTACTCCTGCGCGCGCGATCAGGATTACTACTATATAAACGGGATGCAAGCGAGCTGACGCGTATGCGCGCGCTTTACTCGTCGCGCGAGCCCAATTAGCTCTTGACGCGCACTTCCGAGAATAATTTCGCCAAACGTACACCTATATCGAACAACTACAGTAGTGTGTACATGCGTGAACCTATTTAAAATGTTAATTGCATCGGATTGATTTTGTCCTGCGCGAGCTTTGTAGACTTGCTTTCAAAGGGAGGGATATCTTTCGGAAGTCTCAAATTTCAGACACCTTTCGGTCGTGCCTGTTTATTTTTGCCATTGTACCGTCTCCAAAGACGAGGCATTGTGAGGATCCCCCAAAGACGAAAGGATGTCGATGCTCGCTCCTTGCTATTTAAACTTTTATTCTCGCACGCGTGCGATCGAGAGACAAAGAAAATTTCAATTTGTCAAGCCAAGAATTTATCGAAAAATATTCGTGTCACGAGTGTCAGTAGTACGCGCGTTCGTGTACATTATTCCGTAGAAAAGAAAAGAGGCGAAACTCGGCTCGAAATAATGCGGCGCATGAGGCAGAGAGCAGGCCTGCTGCGCAGAGATCGCGCAGCGAACAGAGCTCTGCAGGCAACATAATCTAACGATACGGTGCGCGTACACGCGCGTGATGAAATTACAGACCCCGAACTCGATACCGGGCTTGCGGCCAGCCCACGACTTTGGCCCTGTGTTGACTCAACTCAGTCAAAACGGAGTGGGCTGCAGCAGCGGCGTCGGTGGTGTCGGCGGCGTCGGCAGCAGCAGCAGTAGCAGCAGCAGCAACAACAACAACAATAACAACATCAACCATCACGAAGACAACCTCGGCAAATCGTCGCAGCAGAGCACGCCGAGCAGCGAAGAGAGCAATTCACCGACCGAGCTGAATTCCTACAAGAGACTCGGTGATAAGCCGCCGCTTATCAAGCGACTGGCTATGGGCTTTACCGGTAAGTCTGCCATAATGCATTACTTGTCGAGAAGTTGGCGTAACCGTAAGACGTTAATTACCTTTTTATAAAAATACCTTGCTGTGTGAGAATAATTATCTTGCGCAGTTCTTTTAAACTCATGAAAGTTGTCAAGATTTTAGTTTTACTTTATGATTAAATTGAGTTTAGAAGCTAATTGTAAAATCAAAATTTCGATTACCTTCTAAAACTTTTTTTTGTTAATGGTAACTTCATTCGTAAATTCAGCAAGTAAAAATAATTGTGTAAATCAAATAACTGTTTTATTGTTTTATAGTGCATGTTTTGATCAATTATATTAAAATACTTTAAATGTAATTCAAATTACATTAATTTTAATGCTTTCATATGAATTTTAATTTACCAACGCGAGAGAAAAAACCTTTCTTCTCTGTAACATTAATTTTAATGTAAATATTTTTAACGGTGTATGTACACGACGAAAATCGATGTCTACGGTTCAGTGCCTTTCATTAATTATACCGCATGGTGCACGTTGCGCGTTCCTATATTGACACATACGATATTCACGAAATTTCGTTCCGATGAAATTATAATGCACGCCTCGTTTGTCGCCTTTCTTGATTCAACTTTTGACGTTATTTCAGGACGGGACGTACTGGGCCTGAATAGCGAAGAGGACAGCTGCCCGCTCGTGGTCAGCGGCGGCAGCACGCCAAATTCGCCCACGACGCAGCGTCCGCAATCGGGCGGTTACATTAACGAGGCCATCATTGATTCGGAAAATTTGCGTCTCCAGGCCGGCGGCGTCGGACATTACGGCAAAATACCTCCGGGCGTCGATCCCAAGTCCTTGACGTTCGAGAATGCCAGAACTTTGGACGCCGATTACAAGAAGCGACCTAGCGCCTCGGCTGGTGGATTGGGAATTTTCATGACGCCATCGCCACCACCTCTACCCGAGCGCTATGATAGTTTGAATGCTCGTGCCGAGGAAAACGAGTTGAAGAAAGCGCCGTGGTTCCAGGCTGGAATACCAAGGTACATAACGTTCGCACATCACTTAGAAATGTCTCTATAAAATATAGTTCGTACCTAACAATTTCATCTTTTAACAGAGAAATCACATTGGAGGTATTGAGTCAAGAGCCAGAAGGAGCTTTTATGGTCCGAGAAAGTACTAGTAAACCTGGCTGCTACGCGTTGTCTCTGCGCGTGCCGCGCGATTTCCAGCCCAGTGGTATAGCTCATTACCTAATTATGCGAACCCAAAAGGGCTACAAAATAAAGGTAAGCCTACTGACTTGCAACTAGCTAAAAAGTGCAAGTGTAATAATTCTTCAAGCTATTTTTTCATCCTCAGTCCGTTTTTATAAAATATCCTTTACACGGGCATTCAGTGACAGTGCCTTTTACTCGAGATTAGGGTCGCGAAGTTACCGTCGTATTTATACCCAAAGCACATGTGTCTACCAGTGCAAGTTGCGCCTTTTGAGGTCGTAGCTCTTGTTTTCTTTTTCTTTACGTATACACGCGGCCTTCTGTATACCTAGATGTCATTCAGATTCACTAGTATGCAATCCGTTACAATGAGCTTTAGTAAGTTCGAAAACTCACACGCGCACAAAGCTTTCGAATGGACAACAGCGCCCAAAGAAGCTTTTTCACTGATGCCGTGTTCATTTTGCGATGTTCTATTCCGTACACCGTGACGCGACGTGTTCGTTTTTTCAGAGCTTTTTCGAAATCCATAGGCGCGCGCGCGTTCAAGTAAAAATACACGTGAAAATCTCGTGTCCCTAGTTTTACAATTTCACGATACGTGCACACGCACTCGTGAAAATGCGTTCTATATGAAATGGTAACTATAGCAATAATTCATGTGTTGAACGAATATTTTAAAATTGGTAGAAAAGTAGAGTAAAAAGTCCATCTCAGGTGTCGTGCATTCAATAACCTCATTCATCTCAGCTGTGCTTGGTTTCATGAACGTCTATACATGTTTAGGTCGGTATGCGCACGTATACGTGGATAGGTAGGTACGTGTCACGATGCATAAACTCTTAACGTCTGAAAAAGCAATTTCTCGCGCAATCTCCACTCTCCTGAGTTTGCAATGTGTGTTCGGTACTGGGGTACACATACAGACATACACACGCGCAAGCTTGCGTACGCGCTTTTTATCTACGAGTGCCGTACGGCGCGCTCCCCAAAGGATTAGTTGCTCTTGCTATAGCCTACATTTTGCCTTTAAAAACTAGAGCGTCGTCACCTTCTTCTGCTGCCGCTGCTGCTCGTCATGTTATACATACGTATACAGAGTAGAGTTAAACGTGTTCCGCACAACCCAGTTTCCAGGAAAATGTTTGTGCTTTATTTTCGAGTATATTTTGCTGCTTCTGTGTAACCTCGGCGTATAGTGGATGAGAGAAATGCCGGCTTCGCGGCGCACGCCTCAGGAAAGTGAGGCATGGCTAATTAGACGATGTTATTTATGGAAGCGATCCATACGGCTTAGGAGCCATGTGTTGTTGCTAAACAACTCAGAGATTAATAATTACCCGAGGGATTATTAATATTTTTGAGATTATATTACAGTGCGTACGTGTGACGACATACATGAAACATGCATTATTTGTAATCAAATTGATTTGCACGCTTTATTTCAACCTTTAGTTTTGACTCCTTTTTTTGACTCATTGTTTTTATCTAACTACTTTTAAGAATATTTTTTGCATGTATCAATATGCTTTGCAATGAAACAAAATCTAATTTCTACATGTTTGCAGGGTTTCACAAAAGAATTTACAACGCTAACGTCGCTGATAACGCATCATTCAGTAATGCCGGAGCTTTTGCCATGCCCGTTATCGCTGAGTCGTTACAACCCCAGCTACGCAAAAAGCAAGGACACCTTTAACGACGACGACGAAATCGATTCCGATCCGGACTACACGACTTTAGCAGACTTTCGGAAAATGATGGCCGATCTAAATGTCTAGGACGAGGCCCCGTCCTCGGACATTGAGAGAACTGCACAAGCGCCACCTCCACCACCACCGCCTCGATTACTGCCAACGATGCAGACGTCAACGTCGTCCACATCGTTCCAAAAAACGATCATGCACGCTTGCAAGAAGCGCATCGCATGTGGTCTCGATTCCTGCGTTGTGCTTTAATTATATTTCGAAGCGCTGGAAAGTTCCGAATACTCACGGCCGCTTTGACGTCGAGGTTCATAGATAACCACATTTGTAAGCGTCGCCGTTTTTTTACTCATTCTGTTAGGCTCAGCTCAACGATATCTAAACATCATAAGAAGAGCCAACAGGAATATTGCTGTGACTCCGATGCAACTGCAACGTGATAGTCTGATCGAGACAGTCAACTATTCTCTGTGAATGATAAATAAAATAATCAAAGATTATTGTACGGAAAATAATTACAGAATTAAAATATAATGTACTAAAGTACTTTGTTACAACTGCTACGCAAAATTTGTGTGATATTACTCGCAAGTCATTCATTTATATATGTATATTACATTATACCATATATACATGATGCAACTACATGTCTTATTTAATGCAAACGTGCGTTCTTAAGAATCTTGGTGATACAATGATACCTCAATTCATACACACGCATATAAAGCTTATTTGTATAAGTACATAGAGTTATGAATATATAGTTTTGCAAAAGTTGCAATATGAGCGTGCACAAAAATTCATGTTCATGATTGTCAAATAATGAATTCTATTTTTTCCTTACAATGAAAATCTCGACTGTGGTAGATCATATGATATTTTTTGTTATTGTTATTCAACGATCAATGAGGAAAGAAAGAAATTCGTTACCATCGCGTTATTCAACTAATTCAGTAATATTTTTTTTCATACAATTCAACTTCGATTCGATGCCAATTGGTTTTTGTTGCATATAAATAAAAGAAAAACTAAATCTATACTCTCAGATATTAATGATAGTAGTAAAATGTGTTGATATATTGTGTAAATATTTAATAAATGACGATTTTACTGTTATTTTCCAAACGTCGATAGTGCATTTATAATTACGATTTATAAATCGAGGTAAAGAAATGTAAACGGCGGCGACTCTCGACAAAATTACTTGCTCGAGTTACCTAGTCTTGTACATAATAATATCAATGAATTATTAAATATATAAATAAATATAGCAAGATCGATGTATTACTTTGCTCCTGTCATCAGAACTTGAAATAACTATGCTACTTTTTTAGAGCATGGAGAAAATTCCTATAATTAATGTCGCAAGTTATTGTACGTTATAGCGCGTGTATCTACTGTGTTATTTATCGTTATATAGTATAAATAAGTGGTCGAATAAGAAATGAAATTAAAATGGAACATCTGTTACTAAAGTAGAAAGTGTAAAAACAATTAAAGGCGAAGGATATCAATTTAAGACATATGTAATTTATTCATAGAAAAGATCTATTCTAGTGCAGAGTAGATATTTCAAATTTTGATGGGAAAGCAAAGAGAAATATTTATTCGAACACACACGTAGAAAAAAAACTTTAATGGAAATAAAATATTAAAATTAATAATGCAGAAAATAAATGATTCATGTTGCTCAGAACGTACGTAAAAGTACTTATATGCAACAATGTGCTAACGTTAATAATAGCATAACATTAGAATCGATAGTCTTCAGCTCTTACATTGCAGGTATTCATAGTCAAAATAATAAATAAATAAACTCATCGGTAGCCTAAAATCAATTTTTCACTATAACAAAACGTTCAAACTAATGAGTTAAATTGAAACACCATATTTAAAAATAAAATAAAAAAAATGAAATATTTAAAAGCATTGATAAAATTCATTTTTATCTTAATAGAAACAAAATCGCAAATTGACTATTTTTACTTTTATACGTAATGCTCATCATAATATCATGCTTATAATTCCAGTGTGCTTAATTTCTACTGCCTGTATGTGTAAGACTTCAATGAGTTTTTAGCATACCTCTGTGTGTTCGGCATATTGTGCTTTACGATAAAAAATCATTCATACAAAAATATTAAAAAAAAAAATTATAATAACTTCTTATGAAGTTGAAACATTGTTCTTCTATACCATAGGATTGAACTTTAATAAACTGTAAATGTCCTTCGTCGATGATGAACGTCGAGTGAGAAAAATTAAATAAACTGGTCGCAGCTTACAGAATGAGATTCGTAATGTTTTGAATTCGTAATTAACGTACGATGCGATTCATGATGCGACTTATATAATTTAGATAATAAAAATTATTTATTGAAAAAATATTTTTAGTCTTTTATTTATGATTCATCATAGTACTTTTTGAATGAATTGTCATATTTTTACACCTCTTTAATGCTTGAACGTTTTTCATCTCAGGACAGTTTTAATTAGTGCATTTTAATATGATCTCTATTTTTAAAATTTTAAACTTTACTTTCATTCGAAAATTGTTATTTGTCAAATATAATGGGAATGTATTTAAAATTATCTCAAACCCCAAGTCCAGAAAACATATGAGGATTAGCTGTGACAACGAATATAGACTGCAAAGATTTTGAACGTGGCGGGTGCTTCGTTAAACTTGGCAAGAGGGCGTTACGCGGCAGCCGCTGTTTCAACAGATCAGCCTCGTTTCAGAAGATAAATCTTTGTTTTGGTCATCAACTTATCCAATAATTCATTTTATGCGTTATACTTTTTTTATGATAATGATTTAATAACAAAATATAATTTTGACATTTTGTCGAATACATTTTACTGCATTTATAACTTTATCTCGGTTAAATAAATCAAGTCTTTTAACGGTTCTGTAAATTAATGTCAAAAAAGTAGCAAGAAGTGAATTAAAAACATCCGAATAAAGTTGTAAAATAAATATTACCTTTCAAGAAGAATTCAATGATATTGAAATTCATTTTCATTTCTTACGAAAATAATTTTTTTCATTTGCATCAAATATATTTTCAGTTTAGATGAACACGTAATGATTGAATGCAAGATAACATTGCGTAAATTTAAAATGAATAAAAGACACAGGAATTTGTCGCTTTTCTCTGTTACATGCGCTGAAAAACAAAGCTCGAAGTATTTTTGCAGTCAATTTGTTAAGACGTATAAGCGAGTGGCCTGCCATACGTCTAATACGTATCGCATCACGGAAGCATCACCGACGACTGTCGGTCGCGTACACGCTTCGCTTGCTCGCGAGTACTACAAGACTCTGCCGTTGAGCTTGCAATGCACGCATCTACCTACCTACCTACGTCCCATACGGCACGTCGTCTATTTTCGTCAGTTAAGCGCGCGAGAAAGCCTTTCGCGTTTCTCATTGGATGCAGTAGCTGCAGTGCCGGCTTGGCTGCAGTACCTATTTACCTCGGGCAACTTCAACGACATTACCCCGCAGCACACTCACGCAGCCCAATATATACTAGTAACGAACGAGTGATAATCGAAAACTTATACGCATGATTCGATCGAACTACCCCCGCGATCGATCAACTTAAGTTCCAAGCGTACGTCATTTCATAATATACATTATTTACATTCTCTCCGCTTCGTAGTTTCTAAAGTGTGCTGCTGTTTGTGTATGAGTGCGTGCCGATTATAACAACCTGCCAAGTGCCAACCTCGTCGCGCTGAACAGGTTTTTTTCTTACTCGTACATTAAAAATTAATTTTACCATCGCAATTCAACAGCTACTCGAATAATATTTGATCAATATGTATGCAAGTATGACGTTCTACTTGGTGCACAATGTGATCAAACTCGTAATCACAGATACTTTCAATCGGTTTAGGTTTTTTTTCTTTTCCATGAAAAAGTATAATTGTTTAAGTAAATTATTAAATTGATGGAAAATGGATGCACATTTTATAATATTTTATAATAAAGTTCAAGGCTATTAATTAATATGTAAACAAAAAACCTTGAGACGAATACATAAATAAATACAATATGAACAGGGGAAAAGGAATACGATAATGAGAAAATCTTACGAATTTCAAAAGTGTTGCAATTTTTTGAGTTTACGAAAAATGGTGAAAAATTGGGCACGTGTAGCACTGATACACCTGACTCACATGGGTGAGCTTATTTATTCTAATGAAATATGAGATAAATTTCTCGAAAAATCAGTTGCAGTTTTTGCTTTTTGTGAACGTGATATTTTTAGAGAGGCCGATTATTCACTCGATACCTTTTCAAACAATGATCCGAAGACACCGCATTAATACCGAATCTCGCGCTACTGGATCTGGAACATGAGCTCTATTAATATAAAATAGTGTATACGCTTTAAACATCGCTATAGCCAAAAGTCAGAAGCATAGCTGCTATAGCTGATGCCATCGCATGTACTTCGTTTGAAGCGAACATGGATAGGCGTACATTTATTCATTCGGTTTCGTTAATTGTTGTGACTATTCTATTTCCATCTGGGTCTGAAATTCGACACATTGTTAGAGTGAAAGTCGAGCAAACGGACAGTAACATGTAGCTTAAACGTTTAACATTTAAAAATAAAGTACAAACTTTAGCGGAGAGAAATAAAACAGTTTTATCGATGGTCCAATGTAGACAAATAATATAAGTAGTTCTAGTTTCCTGCTTAACGCGGAAAATAAACGGAACATTTGTATAACAAATAATTCACGTTCGTTTAAAGACGTCAATCGCATGAACCGCGGTAAGTTTAAAATTGCAAGCTCTGGAGTGATGGCTGAGAGCGCGTCCCGCTTGCAGCGAATTTGAAAACACGTCTGCCCGTAATATAAACTCGCATCACGTTCAAGGCCGTTTGATCTAAAAACAAATTATATACATGTCTGCGCGCCTGCGAGCCCAGAACAAAAGTTTCGGGCAGTTAATAATGAAAATTGCCTCGTACGTGTGCCAAAGCTCCGAATTATCAATAAAAGAAATCCGCAGGTTTATAATTTTCGCATTTTTTCTCAGAAATTTCTCTAATCTGAATCATCGATACCCCTTCTCTTGCTGTATAGCCAGATTCGGCCGATGTACTTAAATATACGTATATTATATACATAAGAATACGAAAATATCTCGAATTCTATACTCATCAAGCGCGCAGTTCGAAGAAACGCGTTTATTGTGTGAGAAAGAGCGAGAGAGAAAGAGTGTGGCTCGCCACCGCCGCTTAAAGCCGTGACGCTGCGGAGAGCTTGCGATCCCAAAAAGCTTTTTCTCATGTGAGAAAGAGAGCGAGAGAGAGAGAGAGCCGTGTTCGCGCGCAAGAGCGAGATAGACGAATATTGGCTGCTGCGTGTAAGCCACGCGAGTCGTCATCGAACACTGTTCAACGAGCTTTTCGACAGAATATCGCGCAAAATACTTTCAAAGCGTTACGTAAAATTGCACGGTCTTTTCGGCTCCTTGTCCAAGAGCTGCGACTGCGAGATCGTTGCTGTTGTTATTAATGCTGCATAAAACTCATTAAAGAATAGTGCCAAAGTGTATGGACCGGAGTCGAAAGAGGGAAGGGAGAAAGAAGAAATAATACCCAACTGTAGAAAAAGTTTATATTAAGAAGCGAACGTTGTTTATTGTGGCTGTGTTTATACATATATATATAAATATATATATATATATATTGATATGGTGCTCGCGTAGTAGTATTGTGAGTGAAGTTAATGTGCTGTGAGAAAAAATGAGACGCCAGGTGCCGAACGACATGTAAGAGTAATTTTGTTTACCTCGCTGAATCTCTCTCTCTCTCTATTTTCAACAATAATTCTCGACATTAGCTCGGCTTTTCAATAACGGATACCAAAAAATGTATAAAAGTTAGTGTGTGCGTGTGTGTGTGGTTTGTAATATCTGTGATCGCGCACCTAAGAGCTATCTGCCAAATAACTTATGACAGTTCTTGACCCAAAATTCTCACATAGTTGCCTACGTTGACGTTTAACACTTGTTGATGCCATTTACTGGCCTACCCGCGCTTGTCTCTTTCCATCTATCGTCTATGCTTTGCCTATTATCGAGGAGATGCGTGAATGTAAAACGTATCTGTACTGTGTTTCATATCATCGGACAATCGAGTTCGATCATATAGGTGACGGAGCTTTTTTTGCTGCCTCGCTGTTCACGCGTGCCGCATCATTTCTTCGCGTGTTATTCTTAGAACTTTGAAAATAACTCGCGAGCTTGATGTTTCCCCCCTTCGTCGATACGTCGTAATTGTTTTTATGGGCCAAAAAATAATCTTCTCGTTATTCGATAGATCGCTTCGGCAAAAGAAATGATAAAGCTCCGCTTAAGCGTACTTGTGGCGTCGCAAAATCGCAATAAAGGTTTCTAATGTAGCATTGTACATGCGTACGTCGTATATAGTATGAGTCTAAATAACATATTTAAAAAGACGTTTTCAAATATCGGAAAACTTTACAAATAAATTTGCTATTTATGTAAATTTATGAACAAGTGTATATTTAACTGTATACGAAATATTTATATTGTTGAATTGAACTTGATAAACATTTTTTTTACATTCAACAGTTATAGAATTTAAATTTTTTCTCCGACACACATTTGAGCCACATCGTTTCTGATCGGAGTTCGTAATATTTATTAAAAAAACATTTCATGTTTACAAAGTAAACTTGTACTTATGACTTATTGGCTAAAAATACTAAAAACATTCGCACGTGCCGACATCATTGCAGCTGTTTTTGTATGTTTCTGACAGATTTACACTACTATTGCATCAAATGTGTATTGCTTAGACTAAGAAAAATACAGCTTATTCAAATTCACATTTAGCTTAATTCTTTGGAGTTCAAAATATTTTGTTCATAAAATAGGAAAATTAACACTATGATTTATTAACTTTATGTATATAAATTAAATAATTTTTATAAAAGAGATAAAATCATTTTTAACAAAGAGACGAAGAATATTTGAAAATCTGTTAATTTTATGCAAGTAAATTTACTGAGATATAAAATTTAATCGTTTTTTTCTGTAGTATTTTTTCTAATAACAAAATTTGTGATATAACCGAACTTGAAAATATGATTTGGCTTGTTCGTTGCTGGCGAAACATGTATTTATTTAACACGTCAATGACCATGTTTAATATTTTCTAATTTCATCTCAACTGACTAAGTTCACGTTCGTCTATTAAAGACGTAAAATAAAAATTAAAAAAAAAACATTTACATTGAATAGCAAGTGATGAATGATAATAGAATATTTTTAATATACGAAAGCAGAGTTTCTTGTTTTTTATTTGCTAATGGAAAGTGGACAATTTTACATGGTCATAAACACTATTTGGAGTTTTCTAGGTTGGTTTCGTATAAAAAGTTCCAAAAAATTACATTTTCATGCTTACCACGCAGCTGGCACTCATAAAGGGCTAAATTTATTGGTTTTATAAAAAAATTTAATGATTAATTTTCCAAATCCTATAATTTAAATTCATATACCGTAATCATTAAGAAATATTGAAGGTGTCTGATAAATGAAAAACATGATCTTACTATTCTGATTTAAACTTCGAATATTACTGGGTATACAATATGCTACAGACTAAATGAGATTTATGAGATAAATAAATTCGGAAAACATATTTTTGCGTGATAATATAAATATAATATAAATAAGCAGGGCCAAGTAAACTAAATAAAATAAAAATGTATTATTGTTTTCCATACAAAGAAAGTTGGACTATAAAGTTGCACCTAACAGTGCGAGTTAAAGCCGAACGTAGCCCATCTAGTGGTAGTTGCCGCTGCTGCAGTATAGCACATCAGCTGCAGCTATGTGCAGTTGTGGCGGGGGATAAATTTAGCAATTCCGAAGCGCTTAAAAGAGAAAAAGAAGAAAGAGAAGAAAGTGATTTGAAGACGAGTGAATGGTTATACGGCGATGTTGTAACGAAGCCAATATGGATTTTCCGCTGTCGAGCTTGATCCAAACATTAATCTTCTTTCCATTTTGAATATACAGTAGATTAATAGTAAATCTATAGTAGATTTTATGCGATACAGCTTGCACAGCGAAAAAAAATAAAAAGATAAATAATCGATGTTCAGCTCGGCTCATCACACGTTCAGGCGTTAAAGTAGATTACTAGTAGCAAAGTAATTTCTGCATCATGTTGAATAATCGAGAAATATTGTCGCATACGAAAAGAGAAAAGATCTTTGCAGATTTATTGATGTATTAATATAAGTTTCTGGATCTAACAGTTTATTTTTTATTTCGTTTAATTTATTTCACAATTTGTCATGACTTTGAAATATTCTACGCTTATTTATATTCTTCGAATGAATCCTTGAAAATAATTATTATATTGCAGGCATCCAAGCGGTGGGCGCAGAAATATTCTCAACAACGCAGCTTATAATATTTTCGAGCGCAAAGAAACTACAACAAAAACCACATCGAATAATACACCTCAATATCGAGCTTTTCCCTCCTCACCTTCGACAAAATCGAGAACCGGTCCAGTAACACATTACATAAATATAACCAGAGAGAGTGACACCAGTAACAGTAGAAGCAACAACTACACCAACAATACAGTTAGAAACAACAATAACATCAGCAGTCAAACGCAGAGGCAAAAATTCCTTCAACGAAGTACTTCGGCAGATAATGTTGTAGTGAAGCAACGCGGCTTCAAGCCCTCCGACAGACACGACCCGGCTAAGCGCAATATACTCGAGAGTTTAACCAAAAAGATTCTTCACTTCGATATGGTACTGCAGTTTACTTGCGAAGAACGTCTGCAGTTTTTCTTTGGGCACTTAAGATACTATTGCAATGATGTTTTTTTTATAGGAGAGCAGCAGTACGAGAAACTCAACCCCGATAAATCTTCAAAAACTTTTAACACCTGCATCGGACTCCAGTGAAATGATGACTACAATGAAAAATAGTAAGAACTATTGTACCAACATTTAATTATTAAATATTTTTATAAGAAAATATTCAAAAAACGATGATAATATCAGTGCGATAATGCACTATATACTTTTTATCGAATTACAAAATTAAAGATAAATAAATGTTCCGAGCAGAAAAGATGTACGCATCGTCGTACTTTTACGCTCCGACACATCCGACAGTAGAGGACCAGGTGGAGCTTGCGCGCCGCATATCGAATTCTCTGAGCGACGTAAAGAACATGAAGAGTAAGGGCCAGTCGATGTATGTCAACCGCAAGAAGCGCTCGGTCAAATGGATTCACGACGGTAACGGCAAGTAATTAATTTTTCAACACCACAACATTTCATACTTCTCGCAAACAGTTACACAACCAAGGCACTGCTAACAATATATTTTTATTACTCGAAACAATTAAACAACCATAAACTTTCGAGTAGCGTAAGAATTTTTCCAAATATTCTCGTGCACTATCGATATGAGCATTATTTTTTCAACGAGAACGTTTGAATAATTTTTGTCCTGGATTTTGGCAATTACTTTTTACAGGTGTCGAAGAAGCAGACGAGACAGATGCACCCTCTCACAAAGTAAGCATTTTATAACGTTTAAAATAACCATCTGCATATCATTCTCTTTTTTAATTATATTTTTTTCGAACGCTGTCAAGGATAAAATACCCCTCAAATGCATGATGAATCCAAGCGGCAAAGTCCTTGATATTCATGGCATACAGGAGCGCTTTGGCGAGGAAGTCAATATGCAGACGATGCCTGAGCATCCAGAAAGATTGTTCGACATAGTTCGAGATTTAAATGCACAAAAGGGTCGTGGTAAGTGACACATGACACAATTGTACGATGCAAGATTTATTTTTTTATAATTTGGTCTTGTATATTTATATCTATAAGCGTATATACGTAAGAGATTCGATGATAATCATTAAGCTGCAACTGCAGCAGTGTCAGCAAAGGCGATGCAATCTCCATGCAGTGATTTATATTTAGAGCTGTCTTCTATATAAACGGCCAGCCGTTTGTTGCTAGATGTCATTGGCCTGTTACGAAAAAAGGTTTTTATTTTGTGCGCGTACGTCAACTATCACATCATTGTCGTCAAGCCAAAAAAATTCGCGTATATATTAAGCACGAGTTGAGCGCGAACGACGAGTGCGTTTCTGTCACGAGTCCGTGATGATACTCGAGTGATATACAAGCGTTTTATTATATAAAGGTTCATACGCTATGATTTTTTTTTATTAGTGAAATTTTAAGTAGTGAATTAGTGCGGTACGAGGCGAGGCTCAAACGATTGTTTGTTTGTTTATTTCGGTATCGGTGGGCAGACGGCGCAGATCGTCAGCGAATATTTAAATATATATTCTAGCTGCACACCGTTCCGAATTCATCAATTTGTATTCGGGTCTATCGTTAGCTTGCGCAGTTGCCTGTGCCGTGCAAGCTCTCAAATAAACTCTTGTATCACCTTTCGTTCCGTATTATACGTTATGTAATATAGGCATATTTGTTTCATAAGTTTTTAGCATTTATTTGTTTCTTTTTTTTTTGTATTAAAATAGAATAAAAAAACACTAATGTTCGTATTATAACAGGTGCTGAAATATTTGCGAAACGAAGGAAAAGGTCAGAAAAGTGGGTCGTCGATCCGGAGCAGCCGCAATCTCCAAGTACCTATGCTTATGGCCCACCACCCACGTATCCTTCAAAACAAGTGAGAAATACAGTTTTAAGTGAAACATAAATAATAACGGAAAAAAGATTGAAATTTTTACCATTTTTCAAATCATTTTCTGCAGGATATTGGTTTAAATGATCATTCGACGTTCGACAACAAACCATATTTCAATCCCTTTACTGTCGATGTAGCAATGGATTACCCAGCTCCATCAGTAACAAGTAAGTACACGAACGAGATTTTTCAAAGTAATTGAAAGGCTTTTAGCAAAATTTATAAGTATCATAAAAGAAAATTCGTCGAGCATTATTAATGATTTTTATTTTTCAAGTACGCCATAAACGCATTTTTTTATCACGCTTTATCTTGGCTTTATTCAATTAAATAAAAACATTGAGCTGTTTAAGAATCACATATTAACCACTTCTTGTGACATGTGTTTGCTTATCATAAAAATCATCACGACACTCACCGCTATCGCAATCATCAACTTACTCAGGCTGTGGCAGTGCAGTTCACCCTCTCTTGCAACATCTGCAATGCTCAAGATCAAGTTACGTAAGCAGTGCTCATTCAGACTGCGGCTCGTGCAGTAACAACTTCAACAATAACAATGCGACGGCAATGACAGCGGCGACGACGGAAATCAAGAAGATCTACTTGCGCGAAGTAGCCGTTGGAACCGATAATGACGAGCCACCTACCTCGATACCGCCTCAGCTTAACAAAACTGAAAAAATGTCAAATCGTAGATCCCATCGTACGTCAACCTGCAATTCAACCTGCAGTCGTGGAAGTCGACCGAGCGCCAGTAATAAGGTTCCGATGCATCATCAGTACCACAGTGTTAACAATCATCACCCACTATTTCATCAAAATCTTTGTCAGCAACATCATCAACAAATTGGTAACTATCCAACGAGGAGCAATAGTTATCACGGTCATCACAACAGTGGATATGGTCAACACCATCATTACTACTCCAATCCGTATAGTTACATCAATGGATCTAATGGTTATGGATATTATCAACCTCCACCACCACCCATTCATTCTGCTTATCATAATCATCATCAGCAACAGCAACAGCAACACAGCCATGCCTATCACAGCGATAATGTGTACCCAGTAGTAAATAACGGCTATCATCATCAGAGTAATTACCAAAATCATCATCATAATCACCATCAGCATCAAGATCATCAAGAAGTCGATGAAATTCAAGATGAAAACGACGAGACTCAACAGGAAGATTACACACCTGTTCCTGTCAAACAATTGATTAGAGAATTTGAAAAAACATGTCGCCCAGTAATGCAGTATAAGCAATATAACACTTCGAGGGTAGAGCCCACAGTGCCAACTTGCAACCATCCTAATGACATATCTCGTTTCTTCGAAGCTAAACAAAACGTCGCTTACCACAACGATCGTCGGAATCAGCAGCAGTCCTCAGCAGGTAACGAATATGCCAGTTCTGGAGACGATGAAAAAGAAGATGACGATGACGACGACGATGATGGCTCATTGGATGATTCTCTGTCACCTGTTAATTTTTATACGATGGATGATAGGAAATTCATCAATCAGACTATTAACGAAACAAACGGTCATAGATCGTCTTCGATGACTACGTTAGACGAGTATTATAAAAGGCAATTGCAATACCAACATGAAGAGTCGAAAAAGAACCAAAATTTACAACAGGATAAAACTACGATCGATCTATGCTCGGACGGAAAAAAAGTTACCATAGTAGAAGATCCTCACGTCAAAGCAGCGAAACTGGCTGCATTAGCTTCACAAGAAGACATAGTAGAGAAAAAGAAACGATTAAAAAATACTCCGGTGTTGGAGAATTTGGTTGCCGGAAGCGTTACTCCTGAATGTTTCAAGCAGGAATATTCCAAGGAAGTAGTAGGCAAGTGCTGCTCCTTGAAGATTGCAAGTTCAATCTATCCTCAGTCATTCCTTTGCTTTTCATCACTTTCCATAGTACCTATTCATTGTATTGCTATATATATTTTACCCACTAACAAAACTCTAAAGAAATGTTTGAATTTAATAAAGTTTTTCTAGAATAAATTATAATTTTTTTCATAAATATTTATTATTAAAATACTTTTTGGGATATTTAATTAGTAGGACTATTTTGAGTAAATTTAACAATTCTGACTCATATTATTATTGAACCATAATTTTCAAAATAAATATAACATTATAGCAATTGAGTTCGTCGTGAAAGTTGATATTGATTTATGATAATATATCAATCTCGTCCTAAGTTTTAACTTGCATAGAATCTAATGTAGTATCTGGAAAAAGGTTATGTATTTCCACTTGATTAATCTTGAATGATTTAATACAATGTTTTTCCAATATGTTTGTAGATTTAAAAAATGAAAGTAGGAATCGGGGGAAAAAGTTATCAAGTGTCGTTCTATACGAGGTCAATTTTATATCAATTCGAATGGTTTAACAATTTTTATACTGACAGAATAAACAATTTATCCGTAATGTAAGAAATAATCCTGAATTTCATTTTCCATTATTTCACTGAAAAAATATTTTAGAATATTTGATTTGACTGAGAATCAGCCTTGTACTATTGAACATTCAAATAATATAAATTTGTACAAACATATGATCTCATGTACTTGTTTATAAACTAATATTTTAATTGTTTTTCAATAGCAAACAAACTGTACGACAACGGCTATCATGGACCGAAAATTTCGAGTTATCAAAACTTGGCCAATTACAATACAGCTCCTCGCGGTTGGTCACAAGCCCAGCAGGTCTACCGCCCAATTAAATTTGAGAAACCCCAAGATGTCAAAATATCATACTCTGATTTTTGAAATTGTTCCTATAAAACTGTTATATTCTTTTCTTTTATCAGAGTCTTCCTATTACAAATAATGACGACGGCAGCGCGCAACTCACACGAACCTCAGCTTTAAATTTTAATGTTTACTATTAAATTGTTCTTCAAAAACTATTTATAATTATTAAATATAAAATAGTTTCTATATATAGTTAGAATCCAGTATCCTTCAAAATATAGTGCAATTATTGTAAGTTAAATTTCAAAAGAATGCAATACACAATGTTTAATTAATAACGAATGATTGATTTTTTTTGAAAAGCATAATTTAAAATATGTGAATTTTTATAAATATGCATTATGGTGAAAAATGGTATGATATTCACGTGTGATAGTATTCGAAAAATGTACTTATATACTTGCATCTATAAATATTGTCATTAAAAGAAAGAAACATTATATTTTCATAAATGTTTTTTGTGTTATAAATAAATTTATCTGTTAATCTAGAAAAGTACTTTTTTGAACACGCCAATACAGTACTTGAATAACTACGCAAAAAGAATATAAAATGCTCTCCATATTTTTTAAATTTAGATTAAAAAAAAAAAGCATTAATCAGCAAGATGAATAAAGAAAAGCCTTTTTTAATATTTCAAAATCATTCCGCATTCAAAATAGTCAAATTAAGAATAAAATTACCCACTACCGTTGTAATGAGCTGCTTTCTTAGCCCAACTATTTTTATAATAAAATCAGCTTACTGTTGTCTCCTTTCTCATGGCGTGCTGTGAAGGGATGGGTTTACATTAACATAGATACAATTCACTCCTTTTATGCACACTCTCTGATTTAATGATTATCGTTGTTATGAATAATTTACAACAAGGAATTAGCTTACTAAATGTCGTTACGCTCAAGGATCTTGAGTAACGTAGTTGGTTGCGCTTGTGTAGATTGAAGCTCACTTTCCCCTGAGCTGAGGGTGGCGCTAGATGTGCTCGCCTGGTCATTGTTCGTATTATCATGACTTCTCTGCTCGGTGATTGCTAGACGGCAGATACTAAAAGTCAATAATCAAAAACAATTTTTTTTGAGATTTTAGGTAATTTTCCTCCCTTATGCGCGCGAGCACTCATTAAGTATCACGCTGGCTTGCTCGTGTAAATACTCATACAGAGTCACGCTCGATAATACATGTGCCCATTCATGCTGCTTAATTCTTATCTGAACGTATGAGATGTACAATCTTTTTTGTTTTTGACTTGTTTTTGACGAGTGTCTCTTGCTAGGACGTTTATGAAATAGATAATTTACAGATCATTACACCCACATATATCATTTTTTCCATCATTTAAACTGGTTTGTAGATTGAAGTATTGAACTAAATTGAAAAGAAAATTATTTGTCTACTTTTATTGTTTAAAATCAAAAACCTCGCTCCAAAGTATGTTTCCCATCCAATGGTGTCCATGGAATTGACCTTGAACATAATCTCAAAGCTTAAGTGAAATAAAAATCGATTTTTCAATTATGTAAATACAAACAAGGAGAAATAAAACTATGGAGGCCAACAGACACCAGGAATAATAAAGTATAAAGGTGCTTTTAATATATATTCATTTGTAAACTACAAGATAAAAGGCGCGCAATACATAGTGAACTAGTATTGTGAAATGGTGAAAAATTTCAATAAACTGAACATTCGGGATAATACAAAAACTGTACACAAAACCCTAATCTATATCCTAATATTCTGTATGCATAACAAAATAGTAGATTATACTCTCGAGCAGCCAACTTCACACGGCTGGCCATAGCTATCTTTGTTCCCGAGTTGCATATACTTTTTTTTCACATACCCAAGTGCAAAACTCGACTTTGCTCCCCCCTTTCCGGGAGCAAAAGCGACTTTTTCATGCTACCCCAGCCGAAACTAACCTTTTTCGTCCCGGCGGCCAAAACGAAAAACTTAATTTCTGCTGAGGGATTCATGAAAAATAGTATACGCACCGATGAAGCGAAAAAGAAAGCCTCAGAGAACATGTTTTTCATCACAGCTTGCGGAAAGTCCTATTGCACGCCGCGCCGTGCAAGAAAATCTTAAAATCGACTCCTGCACTCGATGATGAAAAAAACTATACGTAACTGAGGCGGTTGTCAATCTTGCACACAATATACGTAATGTACTGCCTTAGTTACGTAATGTACAGCCTCAGCTTCGCCTCGGTTGATAATTACACGTGCTCTGAGGCTTTTCAGTTTTTCGCTCCCTAGGCATGTAATATACTATTGGATCGCGCCAACTTGATGTAGCATTTTACTCCCGGCTTGCTTTACATGAATACTATTACATTGTTTTTTCTCCGGCTTGCTTTTCGCGTGTAGCTACATAAGCCAAAATTTTGAATAAAATTGCTGGTCCTTCATCGGCTCAAATTCAACCTCCTTTGCGTAGAAATAATATGAAAAAAACCTCTTCTGTGCAACCTAAGATATACGCGTCAGCTCAAGAGCAGCCTTTTACTAGTAGGTATAATTTGAAAAAAAACCTTTCACATATACAATGGCAGACGATATTAAAAACATTGACCCAGCAGTCACCGTCACAAAAAATAATCGATAATTTTATGAATAATGAAGATCCTAGTGAAGAAGCGTTATTTCAAGAAATTACTCTTGACTATTACCATACTAGTAATGATGTTAATGAAACTTCAGAAAAAAATATCAAATGATAACGTAACAGATGAAATTTCACTAAAATCATTGCCAGTATTTAATAATTCTCGAATCGAAAAAATTATTATTTATCATATCTATGCTCATGAAAATTCAAAAAATAATTGATCAAATTGATATAATTTTAATGTATTATGAAAAATGTGTTTATACCATGCATGTTATGGCCCATAATTATAATTATTACTTATGTTCATATTCATTGAAAGTGTTTAAAATTGTAATACTCGATATTTCAATATAGACAAGAATTCCAAGGAATTTCATGAATAAATTTTATTTACTTTTTACGGTAAAATGTTGCTTGTTCATGTATATACCAATGCCCGCCTGACCAGCAGCCTTGCTTCGCTCGGGCGTGCAAATGTAGCGGGCATTGGTAAGAACATTATGATGTGTAAATAAACTGCCAATAGGTCAAGTTTTTCACTGGGAATGTGAAGAATAATATTGTTTCGGATAAATAAATAATTCAAGGTGATGTAGATTCGAAAGAGTTTTTTATTCAGAAGGAATTAACAGAGTTACAAGCGAAAACGAACGTACAATAAACGCGAGTTAAACAAAAGTGGTTATGCGGAAACCGACTCCGAAAAGGACGGCTCTCATAGAATGTGTTCTATATTATTGATCATAAGGCTGTATATAAGTCGTCAGAGCATAGCATCTACTATTGTACTGCAATGCGCAACCACCGAAGGTGGGGCCTAATGTGTCCAATAAGTTGATAATCATCGACACTTCTTAATGGAGGTCTCCCGTAAAATATCGACGAAGGAAGCATCTGCAACTGTTAAAATTATAAGTATACTCCATACATTATATGTTTTCGTGTTTTCGAAGCTAGCCCACCACCACAGCCTGCGCTCCATGAAATGTGCTGCGCACGAGTGTAGTGGGGAGAACAGCTAAGCTGCTCACTCTCTCATTTCGGACTCACGCGCTTGTGTATTGATGTTTTTGTTTCCTATGCAATACGTCACATCGACTCCTTTTGTTTTTTGTTAATGATAGATCATACTTTGAATACATACCTGCATTTTGATTTCACTTTGTTAACAGTAACTAGTATAATTTTGATAGCGACGCCATTTAGACGAAAACTTTCGCGGTTTTTTTTAGTAGGAATTTTATAAAAATTTGTCAGAAAGTGTTTAAAAGAATCTGTTAAGACTTTTTAAGAAGAAAATGTCGATAATTTGGGGCAAAATTTTGAAAATTTTTCCCGCCAAAGTTCAAATTTTTTCCCGCCAAAATTCAAAATTTTTTCCCGCTAAAATTCAAATTTTTTTCCCGCCAAATTTTGAAAATTTTTTCCCGCCAAAATTCAAATTTTTCCCGCCAAAAATCAAAAATTTTTCCCGCCAAATTTTGAAATTTTTTCCCGCCAAAATTCAAATTTTTTCCCGCCAAAATTTAAAATTTTTTCCCGCCAAAATTTGAAATTTTTTCCCGCCAAAATTCAAATTTTTTCCCGCCAAAATTCGAAAATTTTTTCCCGCCAAATTTTGAAATTTTTTCCCGCCAAAATTCAAATTTTTTCCCGCCAAAATTCGAAAATTTTTTCCCGCCAAATTTTGAAATTTTTTCCCGCCAAAATTTAAATTTTTCCCCGCCAAAATTCCAAAATTTTTTCCCGCCAAATTTCTAAAAATTTTTCCCGCCAAATTTCTAAAAAATTTTCCCGCCCAATTTTAAAATTTTTTCCCGCCAAAATTCAAATTTTTCCCGCCAAATTTTGAAAATTTTCCGCCAAATTTTGAAATTTTTTCCCGCCAAAATTCAAATTTTTTCCCGCCAAAATTTAAAATTTTTTCCCGCCAAAATTCAAATTTTTTCCCGCCAAATTTTGAAATTTTTTCCCACCAAAATTCAAATTTTTTCCCGCCAAAAATCAAAAATTTTCCCGCCAAAATTCAAAATTTTCCCGCCAAATTTTGAAAATTTTTTCCCG